GAATTCCTGTTTAAAGTTCATAGTACTCTTGTTTTCTAGCGTTATGAGAAAAAAAATAGTGGAGGTGATTCTAAAATACTGTCAGATGAACAGATGAGTTCTTGTGGAGGTCTCCTCATAAATAGTTCACTCGCCATAAAGAATCATAGAATCATCGAACACTTAAGGTTGGAAGGGACCTCTAGCGGTCATCTAGTCCAACCCCCTGCACACGCAGGGTCACCTAGAGCACGTGGCACAGGGCTGCGTCCAAGTGGGTTTGGAAGATCTCCAGAGAAGGAGACTCCACAACCTCTCTGGGCAGCCTGTTCCAGTGCAGTTGCAAGTGGAAATATATGCCCTTGTCTGCTTTTCTGTTGGGGTTAAAGGCTCAGGGTTGCTGGTTTACTTGTTTGAAGCTTTCCCTGTGTTCCAGCTCACTCGGGCTATATCTTTGAAGTTGAATCCTCCATTAAATAGGTAACTGATGGCATCTTGGGTTTTTTCTTTCTTTCTTTTTTTTTTTTTTTTTTTTGGCGGGGGGTGGATTTTGGATTGATATCATTGAGGTGATTGCAGCAGTATTTAGTGCCATGGTTAATACATTATTTCACTGCCTGTGGAGTGCCCTGTGGCATCTGGAAAAGCCTTTGCGTGAACTTGCCAAACTAAATGTCTGGTGCCTCTGCAACAAAATGGGCTGTGCAGTAGGTGTTCCCGTATGGAGCAAACTGCTTCTCCTTTGGTCCTTAGGATTTCTAAAGACAATATTTTAAAACCAGGATGTTGGAGTTTTATCAATACTGTTAAATATGGATCCAAAAAAAGCTAAATTTGGTACTTGATTTGCATGTGTTGCAGGCTTGCCTTCTCCCTCCCTCCCAGGTTTGTACACCCAAAGTTCTTGAAGATCAGCAGCAGTGATGAACAAGACAGTTCTGAGGAGTTAGAGAAGACTAGAAATAACTGCATTAGGTGATATCCTGGTATATAAAATTATCACCTCCATTTTTGATTTGGTAAGTCTCCTGGGACCTCCGGGTTTTGCTCTCCCTCTGCCCCTGCAACTCACAGTTGTAGCTTCGGTTTGTCAAGTTACTAAAATGGTGATTGGTAGTTCACCAAATTAGTGGGATTAGGTTTGAACTCTGAGGCCTGAAAAAAGTCCTGCTTCTTAGCATTGTGCTTGTAACCAAAGCTGCGAGTCAGTAGTTTCTTCTAAATATAATGGATGTCTTCTAAATATAATGTCTTCCCTGGTTCCCGAATGACCTATAGGCTGAGAAGTAACCTCAAATGCCAAGCTGTCCTCAAGGGTCTGAAACACCTTTTTCCAACTTAATTGAAAAGCCATAGCTCAGCAGTGGCGTTAGCTACTTCTGATCCATGTGAGCTGGTGGAAGCCTAATGAGGGAATCCTGATGGGTCAACTTGAAACAAAACTGTTTTCCCTTAAGCTTGGAAAAATAGCATTTGGGAGCAACCAGAGCTGAACAGGATACAGACATTAAATGTTACTGTCTGCCTGTTAAGAGCATTTCTCTCACTTAAATTCTTTTTAAAATTTTAACTATCTAATGAAGAAAAGTGTGTGTGATGGACAGCATTGTACTTTCCTTTTCATTCGGTCTGATTCTTAACACCAATGACTTTAAGCCACATCCTGCGTCGTGATGAAATGAAGCCACACGGATGGCCCCTCCCTCCCCAAACTGAGCCCTGCAGCATTGAGTCATGGAGGAGGCTCTAAAACCACAAGCCTTTCTGAAAATGCAGAAATAAAACACTCATCTCTGGGGACCTCCGGTTGAGCCTCAGTGCTGGACAGTTTGATGATAAGGAGCACGCAGCACCTTGGGACATTCTGGGCAACTGAGAAACTTGGATGCTTTCTTTTCCCCCCAGAAGCTTGAGCTATTTGAGCAAATATCCAGTGAGCATATGGGGTGGGAGGAAGGCAGCTTGTTTGCTACGTGCCGCACAAACTTCGGGTGCTCTCAGAGCCTCTGTCCTGAGAACGGAGGGAGAGCCGGAGGGTGCCAGGCAAGCGGGATGTGTGGCTAGCAGGGTGCCTGGGCGTTGGGTGTCTGACCCATCCTTCTGCTGCTGAAAACTGAAAAGCATAGTAGCAGGGCCAAAATGGTGTGTGAATATCTAGGAGCAGAATGTATGTATCAGAGTAAAAGTTTCCAATGGTAAGAGAGCTTGATGTTGAAGAGAGGACAGGAGTGGGGGCAGGGAGAGAGGAGAAAAAAAAAAAAAACTTCTACAAGCCATCTTGGTAAGAGGATAAGCAACACGGTCCTAAGATAGTAGGTGGATTGTTTTACATATGTGATCTTAGTTTCTGGGGGTGCTGTTTGGGGAAAGCTACGTAAGCATTACTGCTGATTTGGGCACTGTTCTTCCTACTGCTGGCGCTTCAGCATTTTTCTTGTAGCTGCTAAGGGAGAGGAAACAGGCCCAAACCAGCTGGTGGTATGGAAAGTGTTTGGAGGTGGGAAGCTGCTGGGGTGCGGTGAGGCTACTGGAAATGTGAGTATCTTCAATGGTAAGAGAGAGGTTCAGCCTGCAGTAGAACTGAGAGACTGAGTAGGCGGTAAGAAGGAAGAAGGGGGGAAGAAATAGAAGACCAAAACTGATGAAGTGAAATCTCCAGGGGGAATTAAAACTCTCAAAGTAGGGAGGAAGCTTTATTTTCATGCAAACTTATATTTAAATGCTTTTCTTGCTGTCTCAACCCCCTCAAAAAGCTTTCACGAGAAATTTCCACTACTCCTATTTCAGGTTTAAAGATCTAGGCCTTGCCTAAATGCATAGTAGAGTTCAAGCCCTAGTGTGATTGAAGATGCCCATCTGAGCTGGACAGAGTTAAAGGGATGACAGATGCTGCTAATCTGATATTATGGAAGAATGTGGGAAAAAAATCCACTTGAGAAAAAAAAAATTGTTTTTCAGTTTAAGAACTGTATCCTGAGACGCAACCATACTGCTGAATGTAGGAAAGGGATTAAAAGAGGTGATTAAACCCCTAAGAATTAAGATTGCAGGTACATGGAGGAGGCTGGGTGAGGAGAGAAGAGGGAGTTGACTTACTATGCAATTCCACTGCCCCATATTTAATAAAATAGGCACTTGGCTGATGGTATTTTTCTCATTAATTTATATGTAATTTTTAATCTCTGGATTTCTTAGTTAGTTAGGCTATATGATGGTGTGAGCAAAGTGAGGCAGTGGAAAAAGATGTGGGTTTTGTGTGTGTTTAACTGGCACTGATTGGATATTATTAGGCTTTCTGCTCTAAAACTGTGAAGGAAGCAGGGTTAGCAGTTCGCTAAACTGCTACAGCACTATACTTAGGAATAGTCTTGACTCCGAGTTACGCTGCAGTCTCATTTTGGGGAAGGGCTATACAAGGTCTAGTAGTGCTTCCAGTAAAGGCAGCATTGTCTTTTGTCTGTAAAGAGAGGTTGTCCTTTCAAAGTTAGTGCAATGGAGTCCTGATCCTGGGACGAATATTTATAGATAAGGAATGTAATGCAAAAGTATGAAAGATATGTTGTCAATTATTGTATGTCATACAGTGTTGTTGACAAGAAAGGTGTCTCAAGTGACATCTACTTATGATGTAGAAAGTGTACTGCTACTAATGAACCAAAACTCCTATTTTAATGGAGGAAAATGCAGGAAGTTGAGGGAAACTGATAGAGTTTTAGTAAGATCTTAATGTTATAGATTAGGAGGGTTATGAAATAAAATGTTGTTCTTGGAAACATTTTACTTCCAATATCCAACTTCACTAGGCTGTTCTGTCTTTCCTTGGCCTATAGATACTGGCAGATATTGTAGATATTTGAAACGTAAGCTGAGAGCCCAGATGCTTGCAAGGAGGGGAAGTTTCACAAGTGTTCAGCAATAGCTAAATAGCTGTGAGAAAATAAAAGAAAAAAAAAACTTAGCAGTGTAAACCTCACACTTAGCTTGATTTGTTTTAACACCACTGTTTCCACCAAAGAAAACCCTACTGGAAGTTGGCCAAGACAACCGTAATGGGTATTTTCAGGTCAGAACTTCTCTGCTGCTTCGTCTGGTGTGGTTGGGACCAGCTACAGACTGAAGCTGAACTTCATTTGCAAGTCAACTCTATAGCCATTAGGGGCCTCACCTAGTGCCCTTGAACCAGATGCTCGTAGTGGGACATCTCTGCATGTATCCACTAGGAAAGTATTTTGCCAAAGTCCACTTGGAAATCGGTTCTTGTTCGCAGATCGGTGACAGAGTTTTGCAGGCGGTGAGATACCTAAAGCGATAAGTTGTCCTTCCTCCGATTTGCAGTTTCTGCTTCTCTTTAGTGCAAAGTGTATGTCGGGAAAGGTGACATTCTAACTAAATTGCAACAATTTGATTTTCTAGTCCTTTTTAAGTTGAGTGATGTGATGGGGAGCTATTTCTTACTAGCAGCATATTTAAAAGTTGGTGTCAAAAATGAATGGTTATAAAGTTGGTCTGTGAAATGGAAAATCATAACCTTAAAATTGTCTTTGCATGTGTTGAAACCATACAAGACAACACAGCTTTGTGAATTTTTGTAGTCAGGATATCTGGATTATGTTTAATATGTTTAATGTCTAGTTCTTCCCCCCTCTCCCCCGCCCCTGTATAGATTTGTTCTCTGCCCAGCCCCTTCTCCTGTACACTCTCATTAATGTGCTGCTGAATTAATACATTTCAAGTCAGTTTAAAAAAGTTGTCTTTTCAAACAAGTGCAAATGCAAAGTACAATCCACAAAGCATCTGGTTAACCATACATATCATTATATTTAAAATATAAAATTACAATATTTAGTTTTACATAGAATTTTACAAAAAGTCAATCTGATAAAGTGCAAGTAAAAAAAACAAGTCATGTAAATATATATTTTATCTGAAAAGCTTTCATCACATGTTTGCAAATACAACTGGTGGTTGCAAGAACAAAATATTCACACTTTGGTAGTCCATTATGTGTGACTTGTTTGATGCTGGTTCTTGCAACTAAGAACCTTACACTCGTCTCTCATCTCTCTAGTTCTGCTTCCAGGATTTCTCCCCAGGTGTCAGCATCCATTGGATACATGCTTTTCTCTGGCAAGCTGCTGCAAGAATGAACGTGACTGTATTTTCCGCTCAGCCATTCTTGCTTCACTTTGCTCTTCCAATAGTTTCGCAGCAACGTGATCTGATGAAAGAAAAGCAGCTAAAAATCTGAAATGGATTTAAGCTACATTCCATAAAAATGCCATGCACTGGAAACTAGAAGAACTAAGAAGTAATGCCAGGACCAAAAAAATAAGGGATATGGAATGTGGATATCCTTATCTTAAGACCACAAAGGTGTTTCCAAGCTTTTATTATTATTATTTATTTAAGACAATTTGACATTCATTTCTTGTCTCAGTTCTTAAATGGAAAGCTGATGGGGAAATGACCGCCTCAAACAGCAATTCCTCCCTGTACCTTTAAAAAGAAGTGCCTTCCGCTTTCTCTTTCCCCCCAGTGTTGTGGGCATGTGCTTTTTGTTGTTGTTGTTAAGGGCCTTTAACTCTCGGGTGTGCTTGGAAGGTAGGCTGGTTGAATGGTTTATTCAGCCAGACTTTTAGTGCAAGAATATATGACCTGAGGTATTTACTGCTTCTGCTTCAAATCCCTCTTCAAAATAGATGGCCAGTGCAAAGAACTTAAGAATTTAGAAGAAAAGTCTTACACTTGGTAGCATGTTCAAATCCCAGAGGAGTGGCGCTGTTGCTTTTCAGGAGGGCAGCAACTCCCTTGCTCAAGGCTTTGCCTCTTACTCAAACACTTCTCCTGAAAGGTGAGGGTCTAGAATTGATTTGTTTGTTTTTCTTTTTTCTTTTTTTTTTGCTTCCCCCCACCCTGCCCTGCCTTGAGATGCGCTGTCTAAAACAAGGTGGAGATCTTCCCCTTGCTAGTTCAGAGAGGTGTCTGAACTCATTTCTTTCCTGCTTCAATTTGGAGGCTGGACTCAGTGATGGACCTTGCAGCATGTTCAGCTCCTCCTTGTGCAGAGCAGCTGTAACAGGGCATGTCTTGAGAGGGAAGGAGGGCAGAGGTCCAAATCAGCTTCTCTCTGCGTCCTTGTAGCTCCTTGTATTTCCTTTTCTCCACCCCAGATCCCTGTGAGTGGGTGTGTGTGGCTTAGCCTGTGCTGAGGTCGAGCCATCTAGAGTGAAGATCCTAGCCCCTCCTGCCACTCATCCTTTCCAAGCAGAATTATTCCATAGTGAATATAGTGAATATAGTATAGTGAAATACTACTAGAGAACACTAACTAGTGGGGGTATGTTTCCCTCTCCTGCCTGCATTTTAGAACATGGACTTTCCTCCACAGTACGGCTGTTTAACCTTTCTGATGTGGTAAGACCTCAGTTTTGAAGATGGACAGGCCAGCTCGGCTGTGCTCCTGGGCTGGATCCCTTTGATAGCTTGAGAACTAAACAGAACTTGTTAGGCAGCCAAATGTGGTTTTGGGTAGGCAACAGAGCAGCCTTACACTTATTTGCATATTTAACCAGTTGCTCAACTTTCCTACTATTATAGTGGTTCTCCAAACACTTCTCACTAATCGTGAGTGGATTTTTTAATATGTATTTCTTTTAATAATCCCCAAAACTGATTGCTAACACTGTTGCTTACATTAAGTTTACCTTCCATGAGTATCCATTTTGTCGATCATAATCAATCTCTCGTTGACAGATGGCTCTTACAGTTAAACAATGATGTCTCCACAAGCAGTCGTTATTCTCAATAGCGTGATTCCAGCTCTTGCATGTCATCGCTGCACTGCACAGACTCTGAAGGTCAAGTTCACCGAAGATCTGGAAGCAGACTTCTGGAGGCAGGAGTGCTACAAAGTCATCTGGACTTTCTCTTTTCTTCTTGTCTGGAGGAAGAACTGCTGGTTCCTCATGGGAAGCAACTGCCTGCTTGTTCCTCTTGGGTGTTTTCTGCATCTTTTTCAGTTCTTATTAAATTAGTTAAGCCTGAATGAGGGAAAGCTTGTCAAAGCAAATAATGAATGTTCCTTCCTGTCCCATTGCAGCTGCCTAAATGGAGGTAGTGATATTGTCTTGGGGACGGTGTCATCAGCTGGTGACCAAAGGCAGCAGGGTTTAGTCACCCAGGGCCTGTAAGCAAAAATGCAAGGAGTGGTTTTGCCCTTTTAGAATGTTCTTTTTAGTTTGCCCCCTTTCTTTTTGTCCCACTACACCCTTTCTCCTTTATTTTTATTTTTGGAACAGGCTGCCCAGAGAGGTTGTGGAGTCCCCTGCCTTGGCCATCTTCAAACCCCACCTGGATGCGACGCTGTGCCGCGTGCTCTAGGTGTCCCTGCTGGAGCAGGGGGTTGGACTGGATGATCTCCGGAGGTCCCCTCCAGCCTCAACCCTCCTGTGATTCAAGGACAGCCGTAGCCCTCCGCCAAGGAGAAGGGCACGTGCCTGTCGCGGCAGCCCCGCGCCGCCCGTACCTGTCCGTTTGTTCGTAACCACCTGCGGCGCCTGTTTCTGTTGACATGCCGAGGCTCCGTTCTGCGCATGCGCCGCCTGCAGCTCCCGCCCCGCGGCCGCGGTGCCGCGCGGCATGCTGGGACTTGTATTCCGTCGGTGGGGGAAGGGGGCAGTTTAGGCGGCGCGGCGGCGACGCCGCGAGACTACAACTTCCAGGAGGCGGGGCGCCCGGGCAGGGCGGAGCGCTCGAGGGGTTTAAACGCCCCCGGCGGCCGGCGGCGCGCCTCGTTACGCGTTCGGCACAGG